TTGAGATAAATGGCAGATTCTTCTTTGGTTCTGGGTGCGACCAGGGCCCGGCACGAGGTGGGCAAATGACAAGCTGGAAATCGTTTTGGGGCCAAAAAGCAAAGGGGATATCGTTTTTGCGGGATCCGGGGCAGCCCCGGATGAAGATTTCAAGTGCAAGCAAAAGAAGGTCGAATCGTGCTTACCTTATACATCTAATTCATTGAGAAATAGTTTTCATAAACCTCATCGCACTGCAGAGTTCGCGCGCGCCACGCCGCGTTGCCGCTAATTGCCGCGTGCGCGACGTCGCATGAGCGATGCTGTTGAACAGCATGATTACATGATTAGTTCTCCATGCAGGCGTGACGATATAGGACCAAATTACGTAAGCTAACGAAGAGAGGCCAGTAGAAACAAAGTGTGAAATATTATGAAAAACTTTTGTGAATACGAGGAGTAATAAGCATTTTTTCCAAAAAAATTGCAATACTGGTAAATGAAGATGTGAATTCAAATGGCTCGTTTGCAGCGCACAAATGACCATACCGTATGAAACTTGGTAGGTACATGTACACGAGCCTGCTGGGCTTAACTTAGAAGTTTCACTTGAAAATTATGTGACTGAAGATTGTGGCAACCTTTTTCCTAAAAATTTCCCCTATCAAGGAAATAGAAAAATGGCTCGTTTGCAGCGCAGAGAAAACGAAATCGCTCGAAACTTAGTGTGTATACGCGCAGTAGGACTAGGGAAAAATGTATGAAAAATTATGAAAAATATGTGAAAGAAGAGCGTGCTCAACTATTTTCCAAATTAGGTGGGCAATTGCCCACCTAATGCCCACCTGAGGTGGGCAAAACTTTCAATTCACATAATTTTTTCAGAATTTTTACATAAATCTGTTGTGCACCTAAAGTTTACTATATGGTGAAATTTTGGTTCCGAAACTCCTCCTCTTGTCTTTGTTAGAGCCCAAATTCGCATCAGCAGCCCAGCTTTCTAACAAGGGAACGATCCCAACTTAAGGTGGCGAATTGGACCAAACCGCATACCATTAGATGCGTCTTGATGAGCTGATTGCAAATTTACCTTCCACATCTGCGACAACGTTATCTGGAAGAAGTTATGAAAGGATAAAAACGTGAAGTAACGGGGGTTTTAGTGCATAATTCGCTTCAAAATCCAACTTGGGAGTGTATGACTAGCATGATATTGAGTGTACCTGATTTCAAGGAATGCTCACACTCTAAAGAAACACAAATAAGTGTTTTTGAACAACTAATTTTCGAGGTATGATTGTACATTTGCCAAATTTGGACTTTTCATTCTCATAGCTTTTAACAAAGTACTTTAGTTGCTTTTTAGCTGTTCGAAAACACTTATTTGTGTATTTTTAGAATCTGAGCATTCCCTGGAATTAGTACATTCAATATCATGCTAGTCGTGCACTTCCAAGTTGGATTTTAAAGCAAATTATGCATCAAAACCCTCGTTACTTCACATTTTCAACCTTTCGTAACTTCTTCCAGATAACGTCGTCGCAGATACGGAGGGTAGATTTGGAATTAGCTCATCAAGACGCATCTAATGGTATGCGATTTAGTCCAATTCGCCACCTTAAGTTGGGATCGTTCCCTTGTAAGATGGAAAGCGCGCCTCTGTCAATCGATACGCGCGGGAACGGCATCTCCCACAGGGGAATACTTGGATGCCGTAGCCATTCATAATGATTTGTATACCAAAAAATGCGCTTCTGAATGCTGGTTCGTAGACTGTCTTTCATATCTGCGAAACGATAATCTGAATGGAGTTATGATTTTTTTTTTCATTAAAAAAATTGCGTTCCTGCGGAGGGCCAAAATCATCAATAAAAAAATTTTCTCTCCTTTCCAAATGCTGAGTATGATCCAGATAGTCTAAATAAATATTACTACGTCTAAAATTTTCTTCAGTAGCATCAAACGGTAGGCTTGATCAAATCTGGTGATTTTTACTATCCAAAAGTAGGCTAAATTTTCAAGGAAAAAAGTTCATAACTTTCTTCAAAAGATCGTTTCGCAGATTTCGAACACAGATTCAGAATCTGCATTCGAAGGCGCATTTTTTGGTATACAAATCTCTAGGAATGGCCGCGGCATCCAACTACCCTTCCCTTGTCAGTCCTACGACTGCGTTACTTTGATATTTTTTCATTCCTTCATCATTTTTCTTGCTTATTCTTATTCCTGTTTTCTATCTTGATACAGATGAGGAGTAATTAGAGAAATCTGAGCATTTTGGGCGCTTTTGAGCGCTTTTAGGAGAAGTGTGGCCGGTGCTCTCGTTGCACAAGCACAAAGCATTTTTGGGCTCAAGGGGGTATTCGTAAAAATTATTGGGATAAAAGGGGAATTCGTTTGGGAAACCCCGTTTGCCCACCTCGTGCCGGGCCCTGGTGGAATTTCGAATTCAAAGTGATAAGATTTTCATTCGATTAGATTAAAAATTGTTATCCAGATGTTTTCATCGCGGTGTTTCCGAATATGCTTATGTTGTTTGGAACCTTAAAAAATTATTTGAATAAGTTTTTTCAATGAACTTCACTGCAAACTGGAAAAGATACATGTGAGGTTTCTATCATGGTGATTCCAAATAAGCTGGTGGTTTTGCTCAAAAAGTGGAACTTGAAAAAACAGATTAGTCGAAGACGAAGTCAAGTTCACAATTGAGAATTCGCTAAAAGTTCAACTTCTTTTGGAGTCTGAAACAGCGGCCAGCAACCAACATTCTAAAACATTTGAGGATTCAAGCAAAATTACAAACATTTTCGGAAACACCGCGATTGAAAACCTCCAGTTACCAATTTTCAACCTAATCGGACGAATTTCTTACTTGAACTTTGATGTTGAAATTACCAGATAAATCCAGGTCTCATATAGTGCAGGGTACTTACCATAAGAGGAGGACAAGCTAAGTGTGCAGAAATCAGCTCTGCTATGGTGCAAATTGGGTTCTACTTAGCTTGCTGAAAGTTCATGACTTCCTTAATTGCGTTGCGGCAAGTGTTTGGGTAGATAAGTTCTCTCACCCCTTGTCAATTGCCTACTTGAACTTCTAACCATTTCCTGATCTTTGAACCCAGTTTTGAACGTACGTGTTGAAAGAATTCCGGAGTTTCATCCAATAACCGCGCTCATCCTCTTAGATACTCCAACCAGCCTCTAATTTTTAACTGCAAGGGACTGCAGGAGTTGAACTAAAGAAAGCGAATGTAGAAACAGTAAGGAAGTTGACTCACCTTTTAGAGTTAGCATCTCAGAAAAGTGGAAGGAACATGTACTGATTATGGATCACAAACATTCGAAACCTTCGGCGCTCTTGTGAATATGAGACTCGCTAATATCAGATCTTATTTGTTTTTCTAAAATCCTGGTTGCAACGCTAGCAAGTTGAGAACTGATATGACTAAATCAGTTTATTCACAGAACTCTGAAAATGCTGATATTATACTTTGTAAACAACATCACCTGTGGCCGTATTCATCAACGAACAACCCAGTGGGTTCCGGAACCCAGTTCAGTGCTTTTGATGAATATCGATTCTACTCCAGGGTAGAATCGATATTCATCAAAAGCACTAAATGGGTTCCGGAACCCACTGGGTTGTTCGTTGATGAATACGGCCACTGTAAATACCCTCAAATCTAGCATATAAGCCCTCTCGCAGATAAATCCACTCAGGGTAGGAGAAGGTCCAACTATAGACAAGTCCGTTTGCAGATAAGACGCTGACAACGCGCATTCTGCTTAGCTCTTGGAATAAAACGGCTTTATTTGTAGGACCTATTTCCCTCGTATCAGTAAGATTTTCCTGATAAAAAGAAAAGAAGCGGATCTATATGCTAGATTTCAGAAAGTCGAATTTGTCACCTCTGGAATCTTGATTTGTTTTAAAAAGCTAGTCTGCAAGATTAGCCTACCGTTCCTTTCCTTGTCTTTGTCTTTTGATGTATACAGCGAAGATTCCAAGCACTACTATTGTCAGAGCACCGACAAAGCTCAGGGCAATAGCTGTGTAAATCCTGGAATAAAAGTGTAAGCTTTGTGATTCAAAGATCATTGGAGGAACATTCTCAAAGAGAACATGATTATCAGAAAGTTTCATCTGACTGTAATTGAGCGCTTTAAGCAGATTTTTACAAAAGTTCGCATTTGCTAAGGCATCGTCCAGAGTTGCCTGTGTGCCGGCGCCGTTCCAGTACCGTGTTAGCGCCGGTCCATATGTTCGCGCGCGTTTTGACCAATGGCGCTTCTGAACGGCGCCAGCATGCCGCTAGCACGGCACACTCTGGATGCGCTTTGATGGTCAGCAAAGATGAATACTGCAGAGTGAGAATGCTGTAGTGTTCCAGTAAATTCGTAGATGCGGGAATTCGTAGGTGCGCATGGGGGACAGACTATTGATTCGATTTCCAAAGGGTTTCTGTTACTTCTTTTCCATCGCATCCATTGTTGTTGTGCTCTTTTTTACTTTGATGTGTTTTGGAATTTACTCAATCTATTTTGTGCAGAAAAGGTGTCTAGTTGAGTAAACGTTATGTGGCTGAAATAAAAAATGAAAATACCTCATTGGCGCTGCCTTTGCTCTTCCTCTCTTCTTGAATCATATCATTCGAAACTCGATTGATGTCGTATGGTGAAAATGTGGACAAAACAGGCTTCTCAAACGAAAACTCATTCAATCCAGGCAACTTTTCACCTTGGATAACTGCTGCAATTACTCATGCGGGAGCTTGTCGAACGTCGGTAGGAACTGAAAACGGCAGAAATGATGTAAGTGAAGCGGATGTGCAGGGAGGGTGTAAGCAGGTAGATAAAGCAGAAGGATGAGAGAGAACAGGAAAATCTTTTGACAAATTAAACTTCCATTTTTCTGTAGAAGCGACCTTAAGCTTAATCCCAAATTAGTCACGACCCACTTATTTTTTCAGAATTCGGTACTGGAGTTCCATTCTGTGCAGCTGCAGCTGCTTCATGCATTTTTAGCATATACGTTGTACGATCGTGTCCAGCTTCTCCCTTGGTATTCCAGGAATTTGCCCTCCTCGCAGAACATAAGGGATAAGACTTGGATCCAGCTGAAAGCACCAAAACATTACTGAATTCAAGCAAAGTTTATCTACTGACCTTGCTGATGTCCACATCTCTTAAGCCTGGCACATTAACGACGAAGTTAAGAATTGACTCAATGAGTTGCTGAATATCACTTGCTACCGGTTGACCTCCATTTGCGAAACGGACCAGTGATGCAGTGAACTAAAATCAGTGGCATGACTATAGAGAATGTTTTTTTGCAAATAAACGTAATGAGTATAGCATAAAATTTTTTCGCTTGCGTTTATTATTATCTTGATCGAATTTTCCATAGCTGTCCATGATCTGTGATGAGAGACGTGTTACTGAGGATCTACTAGATCTCAGAGTGACATTAATCTATGAATTTGATTTGAAAAAACATTCAGTGAAGTGTTAGCAGTTTATCCGTCTTTCTCTATTCTTCGTTGTACCTCAGGAAGTTGCCAAGTCAACTCAGGTTGCTCAGAATCATCATCCTTTGAATTATGTGAAAACCTTACAAAAAAAGGTCCAGATTTTCCAAGTCAGGCTTCTCCTTTCTTTATGGGGGGGGGGGGGGGGGGGAGACAAAAAATTTTTCTGATGAAGACAGTTTACCCGCACTACGAAAAATTTTTGGTTTGCTTCCTGAAATTTTCGTAGGCCCACATCCCCAAAAATTTTAGAAAAAAGAGGCTTGGCGCACGCCCCGGAAAACTTTTTCAAAGGCTAAACTGAATTTTCAAAAAATTCAAAAATTATTTCAGTTGGGTGTCCCACACTTTTTTTAAACATTTTTACCTTGAACATCTGCATTTCTTAGACCTGGGACACTTTCGAAGTTTACAAATATATGGTCTTACTTCTGTATATGTGATCTATATCACTTTGCGTGGGAGGTGCTCACGATGTCTAAGGGCGGAGCCATTTTACCCCATTAATTTCTTCTTTATTTCTAGCTAAGGAGAAAGACGGGAATAGCACAATTGAATGTGCGATATGTCAAGCATAGGCTAGGATAAATGGAGAACTTTTAAGACCTTTTTGGGCGGAGACAAGATTTTTAAATGAAAAGTTCGTTTTCGACTGTTGTCAGATTTCCGCTCAAAACTTCCTGTGAAATACGATTTGGGCAGATTCTTCATAGCCATCTTGTAAAGATTCCTTTGCACTGTCTAATGATTACTTAAACATCACTTGAAGGGAAAATACAAACAGGGCTCGGCATGAGGTGGCTTTTTCAAATTTTCAAAAACGAAGTCCCTGTAGATTTCGGCAGAAAATTACGACATCACCAATGACGCGATCGTGGATGGATTAACGAATAACGAGAAAATATTGGATCGCGGCATGTTGTGTCCGGCGCGCAACTTTGCGCGCTTGGAGCAGGCCTGCCGCCGCCATACAAAATATTTAGCTGTAACTAGGCGAGGAAGAGGGGGTTTAGGGAGATTCAGAAACTCAGTCGTAGGGTTTTTGATGTAGAACAAGGCTATGTTGAACATATGAGAAAATTATGTGAAGGGAGGAAAAAATAACTTTTTCTTTCCACTCAAGCGATATCCCATTTGGTTTTTATTCCAAAACGATATCCACTTGCCCGTAAGCCACCTGTGCCGAGCCCTGAATACAAAGAGACGAGAGCTGTAGTAAAAAGTAAAAATTGTGGGACACCCTAATATTTACAAGTATAAACGAGTCACTTGTACATTTTCCTGATTTTGCATGTACGTATGGCTGTGATGGCAGCTTTATTATTCTCAATTTACATCGAATTCATATAGATGAGATTATCAGCATTAGCTCTCCATTATCGTTCTTAGGAATAGGAAAGCCCGGTAATCAGTGTGGGAAACAAAGACTGACAGTTGCCCTATTTAGAGAGACAGATGGGCAGTAAACAGCGACAGATTCAAATTCTTAATTTTTAACACCGAAATTGAAAAATCAGCTTACATGGTCAGATGACTGCGACAATCCACCGTACTCTTCTCTCTCTTTTCTACACACTTTATCCTTACCTGTTCAAGAGCTCTGTTTAGCTGAGAATTCACAGCGTGTCTCGCGGCCGTTCCGCCCGCTTCCAATGCTAGCATATTTCGCATTGACGGTATTGCCTGGAATCAAGTAGATTTCTAATTTTGCACAGTATACGGAACGCTGATCAAAACCTGTATTGATGTGAAAGGGATGGGAAGCCCTGCAGCCGCTTTTTCGAGAGCTGCACTATCCAAAGCGGTCTGGAAAGGACGCAATCCTGCGATTAATGAGGAGATCAGCGATCTGAAAGCATATAAGCTTTTTTCGGAGGCTTTCAGAGTGTGTTAAAGCTTCACTTCTGTCTTCACTGTCTTCGGTCTCTGCGAAATCACGTATGCGCGCAAGTCCTAGCGGTGCGAGGGCACAAATTCACTCCACTTGTTTGGCCTGATCCCGATTGCGACGGACTTTATACTGAAATTCGCAAAGCGCTCCGTAGTGCGGCACATTAGAAGTCGAGGAATCACAGGAAATGCAGGAATTACAGGCACAGAAATCACATCCTGGAATAGTATGGCCGGCATAGGTGCGAAGGCCTGAGATGGGTACCCTCTAAAGTGAAGGGGGTCTCAGGAGTTTTTGACCCTCAAAAGTGAAGAGGGTCCAAAAATTGCCGACGTCGACCGGGGGGGGGGGGGGGAATTGAAAAAAAAATAAATTTTCTACTTTTAACTCTAATTTTTCCAAATTTTATTTTTAACAATTTTCCAATTTTTTGCTTTTAACCCCCTCACTGGGACGAATCAGGTGCTAAGGTGAGTTAGTTAGATTAAAGTTGAGATATCGGAGCTAAAAAATCCAATTTTAGGCATTCCATGGACGAGCAGTATTGAGTCGATATGGGAGGGCGCATGGTCGTGAAACGAATGGCTGGAGTGGTGCCTGCACATGGGCTTGTTGGACGAGACTCTGAAAAAGATATTTTGTGGTTATAATGTGGATATAAATTGAATAATTTGCCATCGTATTGTGTGTATAAGGATAAACAATAAATGGAATTGTTGTACACAATCGAATTTGTATATACTGAGTGAAGGTAGGAAGATAATCAGAATAGGAAAGGTAAGATATCGGAGTTTGATGATCAAAAGAGAAAGCTGCTGGAAATAAGTTCTATAAAGGTAGAGGAAGAAGGTAAGTCAGGGATTAGGTACTCAGGTAAGCTTCCGATGTAAGCTGCTAAGGAGAAGCAGGTTTGAGTTGCCAACTATACCCCCCCCCCTTCGAGCCAAAAAATTTCCATATCTCGGTGGGGGGGGGGGGGGGGGGTCATCTGATAATCTAGTTTTTTTTATCTTGTAAGGGAGAGTGTGCTTGAGATAACTAGGGCTGTCGCAAAAGAATCTGCTGAAGCAGAACTTCTGAAGCTTGAATTTTACGCACAAATTTATGCGTCTTCAACTCGGTGCTGTTCCTCTCCTTCCTTAGAGCAGATCCTTTTGCGACAGCCCTAGTTATATCAAGTGAGCCTCCCTCTACAAGATGGTGAAAAAAGTAGATCACGAGAGGACCTCCCCGCTGAAATATGAAGCGTCAAATTGAACCACCCAAAATCGATTTTTTTGCTATAACTCTTATGTAAATAAACAGTTGTAAACAAGGAGCTGGAATTAGAATCTACTTTTCAAGAGCTTTCGAATAATATATAATATGTGGGGGTTCCTTGTTTTTTTCGCCCTACGACAGGGGTTGAGACGCTCCAGTTATGCGATCTCAACCCCGAGGGGGGGATAGACCTGAGATCGCATAACTGGAGCGTCTCAACCCCCGTCGTAGGGCGAAAAAAAACAAGGAACCCCCACATATTATATATCATTCGAAAGCTCTTGAAAAGTAGATTCTAATTCCAGCTCCTTGTTTACATCTGTTTATTTACATAAGAGTTATAGCAAAAAAAAATCGATTTTGGGTGGTTCAATTTGACGCTTCATATCTCAGCGGGGAGGTCCTCTCGTGATCTACTTTTTTCACCATCTTGTAGAGGGAGGCTCACTTGATATAACTAGGGCTGTCTAAAAAGGATCTGCTCTAAGAAAGGAGAGGAACAGCACCGAGTTGAAGACGCATAAATTTGTGCGTAAAATTCAAGCTTCAGAAGTTCTGCTTCAGCAGATTTTTTTGCGACAGCCCTGGTTATCTCAAGCAAACTCTCCCTTACAAGATAAAAAAAAACTAGATTATGAGATGACCCCCCCCCCCCCACCGAGATATGGAAATTTTTTGGCTCGAAGGAGGGGTATAGTTGGCAACTCAAACCTGCTTCTCCTTAGCAGCTTACGTCGGAAGCTTACCTGAGTACCTAATACCTGACTTACCTTCTCCCTCTACCTTTATAGAACTTATTTCCAGCAGCTTTCTCTTTTGATCATCAAACTCCGATATCTTACCTTTCCTATTCTGATTATCTTCCTGCCTTCACTCAGTATATACAAATTCGATTTTGTACAACAATTCCATTTATTGTTTATCCTTATACACACAATACGATGGCAAATTATTCAATTTATATCCACATTATAACCACAAAATGTCATTTCCAGAGTCTCGTCCAACAAGCCCACGTTCAGGCACCACTCCAGCCATTCGTTTCACGACCATGCGCCCTCCCATATCGACTCAATACTGCTCGTCCATGGAATGCCTAAAATTGGATTTTTCAGCTCCGATATCTCAACTTTAATCTAACTAACTCACTTAGCACCTGCTTCGTCCCAGTGAGGGGGGTCCGGTCCCGATTTTTGCTTCCTTTCCCGCATTCTCATTCCCTACACTCTGTAAATAAATTCTTTTACCTTAATTGTACTCCACTTCAAGCACACTATCATCTCACCTCAAAAAATTTTCTTTCTCCGCCCAAAGTGAAGGGGGGGGGGGGGGTAGCCCAGGCTCCAAAGTGAGGGGGGTGAGATTTTTCTCAACCCTTCGCACCTATGATGGCCGGTCCCTGACAGAGGGATCAGTAGGTGCTGTGAGTTATTGTGTATAGCAAAAAGATGCGCTAATGTTTTGACTGAGACTACCACAAAACTGGAGCTTAAGCCCAATTACGGCCAGACTCAGAATCTTTTGATCAATCAGCGCAAGTGGTGCTGTTCCTTTGAAGAGTCAAACCACCGGTTTTGCTGGAGTTTCGTCAAGAGAGTCTACAGGCACGTTGTACAGTTGATCGGTTGACCGCATGGATTGGACATCACTGCGAATCACGCGCTGCGATATAAAACGCTTGCCTCAGTACAAACTTGTCATTATACAGTCGGTTTCATCCCGGATTAGGCGAGACATTCTATGTGGAGCAGCGCATGCGCATCGCTGGAGGCTGCGCGAGCGCATAGCGCTGGCATTTTGCCAAGCAAAGACTAAGGAGATTGAAGAGACACAGACATGGGTTCTCAGCACGATAGGATTTACTGTAGCTGCGAAACGGCGCGAGCTGTTGCGAGGCGGACTCCCGCCAGTCCAATTTCCGCCTAAAGCGGGTCGAAACTTACTGTACAAGTCGTGCTCTCGCGACAATTTAGCCGCCCCGAGGTGCCCTATATGCCCCCCCCCAACAAAGGCAGGGACCGTAATCAGGTTGTTCGTGTCGGGACCCGATCGCGATTTCCTCATCGTCCTTTAAATTTTCATTTCCCGTCTCTGAGATTCGGTTGCGCGCGAATTCCTCGTTTTTGATATATAGTTGTAAGCTGGAGTAGTTGGAGCTAGTTGGAGCTTGATAGGATTCGGCGTGGCTTGATAGCACTTTCGTCGCGGTCCTAGGTCCATTGCCTCCATTCAGAGACAACATCAGAGGACCATACCGATGCAGTGTCCTTTCCGGGGGCTTACATTCAGAATAGGTAGCTTTTGGAGAAGATTAGCTTTGCCCTGGACGCTGTCTTCAATTCTTAAGTTGATGCCGGCTCACTCTGTTACATAATTTAGCATATAGTTGCCAAGATACAAAATTTCACGACAATTTTTGCTTAACATCATCACCATTATAACATCATTCTGCATGAATGAGGGAAACGATACAATATGCGTTGGAATCTCTGGCACTCGGCCCGATTGTTCCAAAACTTATACGGACATCTGCCCACCCGTCGCAGGATCCTCAAGCGATGCCAAAGGCAACGATATAACTATTGTGAGCAATGGTGCAGCCTAGAGGATCACTTACCGTCACTTGGTCTCTACTGTGTTAAGTCAGACGATGCCTTTTGAGACGATGCTAAATAAGATCATGCTCTCATGCTTTTCTATATAGGCTTGAGCCACAACCATTGCATTTCCCATTTTCACTTCACCTATCAGTCGAACTAAATACCACTTCAAACTGGTTGTCTGCATCTCTCGCCCGTTTCCACTTCCGGCTTAATTCCCACCTCAGTCGCTGCAATTATTAACGCCGATAATTTGAGTGCAAAACAGAGGATTATGCCCCGATGCACATCCCAAATAGCTCGCAATTAAGTAATAACAGATTGTGTAATGCAGGGTAGAACGCAACCTTCTGCTTTGAAGCAAAGAAAAGACAGCTATATCTGATGGCAGTAAGTGCTTCTATAGGCTTCTATAAATTAGGAGGCTCAGGAAATTCTATTTTCCTACTATTAACATAGGTTTGTCGAAGATCGCGTACACAGTGCCTTATATAGTACCGACAACACTTGCTCATTAAAAATGGCCATGGTGTGCAAACTTGAGGAACGCGCGCTCTATGGTCATTTTCTCTTGCGTTAGCGATGTCGACATTACAAGCATGACAATTTTTCCATATAAATATTGTCAGCACCGCAGAGCCATCATGAATAGTCAGTCTGACAGGGCTGTAGTTGAATCTCATTTCTCACACCATGTTTTTGATCGAAACTCGGCCCTCCCCTCTGGCGGTCTCCAACCTATGGTCTTTGATGCTTGTCGTCAAATTGACATTTCCTCCGCGACCTAAAAGTCCTGTGTACGCGTCCATTGTCAGTTTAACAATAAAGGAAGCCGAAATTTTCGATGTAAAGCAAATTCGATTTTTCTATATAAAGCTGAATGTCTGTTTGTCTGTCCGTATGTCTGTCTGTATGTCTGTGTGTACGTGTGTTCCGAATACAAAATTCCATTTATGAACCGATCCGGACCAAACTTTTCACACATAGACTTCGGGCCCCGGCGGGTGTCATAGGCTACTTTTCGTCATCGATCGATATCGATTTTATCGATCTTTATCGATTTTTTTGCCGAGTCCACCTACGGGACTGGAATTTGGCACAGGGGGTAATCGAGCATGCTGATTACGAATACAATTTTAGTTTCTAGAATTATCCGCTTCTTTTATCGATTTTGTTATGTTAGTGTCTGATCAGTTGTTTTCTCGTATGATCTGCCCTCGCTGAGGAGCCTGCGACCTCAATGCGCGGGAAATGAGCGCTATAAAAGGCGCTCGCTGTTGGCCATTGTCAGTTCGTCTGTTCACTCATCTGCCTCTTTTATTTTTACTGTTCTATTATTTCCTAATAAATACTCTTGTTCCCCTCGTGTGCCTGCCTCAGGACGAAGAATCGACGTGTCCGACGTGGAGGACACAACAGTGGCGATCAGGAGCGGCGGCTACTAGTCGAAGAAGTAGCCGAACCAACGAAGCCCGAGGAAATCAAAGCGAAGAGGAGACTGCAGAGAGCAGTCAAAACGAATTCATAGATCAGCATGGCGAAGATGCGCTCAGAGGAATTGCTGATCTTGCTCCAGGAGATGAGAGAGGAACGAAGAGAAATGATGGAGCTTCTGAAGCACATCACATGTACTGGACGAAGCAGTACATCAGTCGAAATCCCAAACGTGATTTCCGCCCTCAGCAATAGAATCGAAAAATTCTACCTTGACCCTGAAACGGACATGTGCTTCAGTAAATGGTATGCTCGCTACAAGGACGTCGTCGAAGATGCGAAGCAACTCACAGAGAGTGCCAGGGTGAGGCTTCTCTGCGAAAAGCTCGACAAGGAATCTTTCGAAAAATATCAGAGTCATGTGTTACCAAAGGAGGTCACCTCGATTAAATTCGAAGAAACAGTCGAAACATTGAAGCAGCTCTTTGACGTAAAGATTTCGGAGTTCACTATGCGATACCACTGCTTGAAACTGGAGAAGGCGGATTCCGATTACCTCATGTATACCGGCCGAGTGAACGAACTATGCGAGAAAGCGAAGATCCACGAATTGAATAGCGATGGAATCAAATGTCTCCTATGGATTTTTGGCCTGAAGAGCCAAAAAGAAGCCGAAATTAGGCAGCGACTCATAGCCGTACTGGACAAGGAGTACAAGGCTGGACGAAAAATGTCGCTACAGGAACTGTGCCTGGAGTGCGAAAACTTTCTTAGTCTCAAGAAAGATAGCGAGACTGTAGCTGGTTGCACGAAAATTGTCGAAGCAACAAGCAAGGAGGAACCCACGAAGCTGGAATGCTGGAACTATGGTAAAGCTCACTTTGCCAGGGAATGCAAAGCGAAGCAGTTGTTTTGCAAGAAGTGCAAGAAGACAGGTCACAAGGAGAAGTATTGCGAACAAGTGGCGGAGAGAAAAGCACTTGTTCAGCAAGATGTGAAGCGAAGAATCCACAGAAGCAGCGATACCAGCAAAAACAGAAGTTGGACGAAACCAAAACGCCAAGTGCATAGTGTTGCGAAGATTGCGAACGCAATGATGGAAGTGAATTCGACTCGCGTATATGTGGAGGCGAAAGTGAATAGTCATCCAGTTAGTTTCTTACTGGATACAGGACAGATATCACCTTGCTAAACGAAGCAATCCGGAGAAGCATGGGTGCTCCAAGGCTGGAGGAAACAAGCGTGATCGTCAAGAACGCTAGTGGAGGCTCCATGAAAGTCCATGGAAAGCTGTGGTGTGAGTACGAAATCAAAGATCCAGAGGCGAAGGCTGCGCATACGTGACGCCCCACAACTCACTGCTAGGATTAGAGTGGATTCAGGAAAACGAAGATATGTCCTATCACTTAAGCAGAATGGTTGCCGAAGTGAAGGCAGAGCAAACCAGCGACATCGCTACGAAGCTAAAGAAAACCTACCCAGAAGTCTGCAAAGAAGGTCTAGGACTCTGCACAAAAGAGAAAGCGCACTTGAGAGTTAACGAAAACGTTCGCCCAGTATTCAAGGCTTGCAGACCTGTCCCCCATGCTGCGCTCGAAGCCGTCGAAAAGCAGCTTGATAGGCTGTTGGAGCTAAGCGTCATTAGCCCAGTAACGCACAGTGAATGGGCAGCTCCCATCGTATGTGTCAGGAAAGCAAATGGAAAACTGAGAGTGTGTGCTGATTTTTCAACCGGACTCAACAAAGCATTGGAGTCATATGATTACCCGTTGCCATTGCCGGAGGATATATTCGCATCCCTCAATGGAGGCACGGTGTTTTCGCAGATAGATCTGTCGGACGCCTATCTGCAGATCGAGTTATCAGAAGAAGCAAAGAAAATGGTTGTGATAAACACGCATAGAGGATTGTACCAATACAATAGACTGCCGTTTGGAATAAAGACAGCGCCAGGGATCTTCCAGCAAATCATGAACAAGATGGTGAATGGTTTGCGAGGAGTAGCAACCTACCTGGACGACATCTTGGTTTGTGGAAGAACAGAAGAAGAACACATGGAGAATCTACTTGCTGTTTTTGCAAGGATAGCCGAATATGGGTTCAGGATTCGTCTAGAAAAATGTTCCTTTGGCAAGCCAGAGATACGATATCTTGGCTTCATAGTGGACAGAAATGGCAGAAGGCCGAACTTAGAGAAGATCGAAGCAATCAAGAACATCGATGAGCCGAAGAATATCAGTCAGTTAAGAGCTTTCCTTGGCATGATAACCATTCATGCCAAAGATCAAGGATCTCCGTGGGTCATTAGATGCGATGCTGAAGAAGGATTCGAAGTGGGAATGGACTCGATTACACCAAGAAGCATTCGAAAAGCTCAAGAAGAGTTTGTCAAGTGAGCTGAACCTTGTTCACTATGATCCAAGGCAGAAGATTGTCGTGGCAGCGGACGCTAGCGACTATGGGATGCGTGATATCGCATAGATATGCCGATGGATCCGAAAAGTTAATTGCACATGCATCGCGTTCTCTTACGAAAGCGGAGAAGAACCATTCGCAGATCGAAAAGGAAGCATTGGGAATTGTCTTTGCTGTCAAGAAATTCCACAAGTACATATTCGGACGAAAGTTTTTACTACTGACGGACCATCAACTACTGCTAGCCATCTTCGGTGATAAAAAGGGAGTTCTAGTCTACTTCGCGAACCGACTCATGAGATGGGCTACAATTCTACTTGGATATGAATTCGACATAGAATATGTCAAAACTACGAAGTTTGGACAAGCAGATGGCTTGTCAAGGTTGATGAAGAAGAATCAGAATCCCGAAGAAGATGCCGTGATAGCTGCCGTTGAGAACGACGTTGGCTACATGCTGAAGAGCTGCATAAGAAAACTGCCAGTAACAGTATCTGATGTACAAACTTGGACGATGAAGGATCCAGTACTCAGAAGAGTACTCAGTTACGTGCAGAAAGATTGGCCAGACGCGAATGGAGAATTGGCACATCTTCGAAATCGAAGAGAGACATTGTCAATCGTGGAGCAATGTTTGATGTCAGCCGAAAGGGTTGTGATACCCAAGGAGCTTCGAGGAAATGTTCTGAAAGAAACTGCATAGTGGTCATCCTGGGATTGTAAGAATGAAGAAGCTGGCTCGAAGTTACGTCTATTGGCCGAACATCGATAAAGATTGCGAAGACTTGGTACGAAGATGCACGAAATGTCAGGAATTAGCCAAAAATCCGACGAAGGTACCATTAGAAGCATGGCCGTCTGCGACTCGAGTGTGGCAGAGGATACACATCGACTTCGCTGGACCTATGCAAGGAGTCTTCTATTTGGTAGTAGTGGATGCATACAGTAAATGGCCTGATATGATCAAGATGAGCAATATCTCGGTTTCGAAGACGGTGAAGGCTTTGAAGAACTTGTTTGCGAGGTATGGATTACCGCAAACAATAGTGAGCGACAACGTTACACAATTCACGTCGGACTTGTTTAAGAACATGTGTGACGAAGGTGGAATCACGCATATAAGGACTGCTCCGTACCTCCCTCAATCGAATGGACAGGTAGAGCGTTTCGTTGATACGCTGAAACGCGGAATCAAGAAACTAGAGGGGGGAGAGGTCGACAGAAGAGACTCTAAATGTGGTGTTACAAGCTTGCAGGACAACACCAAACACGAACTTGAACGACAAGACGCCAGCAGAATTGTTTCTCGGCAGAAACTTGCGCACAAAATTAAATCTGTTATTACCGATGACGGAAGATGCAGAAGCCCCACTCGCACGAAGAAGACGAGAGCGCATGAAGGATCAGTTCGACCAGAAGCATAGAATTGTTCGAAAAGATTTCGAAGTTGGTAACCTGGTATACGCTAAGCAGTGGAAGCCACCCCACTTCCACTGGGTGAAAGGAACCGTGATGAGACGTATTGGACGTGTCAATTATGAAGTTATGGTTGGTGATGAGATATGCAAGAAGCATGCAAATCAGCTGCGACGTCGAAGCGATATCGAACAAATCGCCGTACGACAACAACTTCAACAACAATCCGAAGCTTTGAAGATACTGTTAGATGTTCTGACAGAAGACGACACACTATCGAGGAATGGCAATGCTGCTAAAGGGAGTTCCGAGCAAGCGATCGCGAGCGATGTGCCAGTACCCGTGGATTCGACAACATCTCAGATAATCGCCGGGGCAGGCGGTCCGCAAACTCGCGCTTTTCTGCAGGCGGTCAGCAGGATTTCGGGGCGTGACCAAATCTTCAGAGGGCGGTATTTGCGTTTTCTGCAAGCAGGCATTAATACAAAATTTTCTGCAAGCGCTCGTCAAACAATCTCTTTCAGCGAGCGCTGGCCAAACTTTC